CTGCCCAGGGTAGAACCATGGTTGCAGCGTCGGACTCACTGGGTCCCTGAGAAGTCAGATGTCTACACAGTGGCACCCGGAGGGAGTTATGTGGACACACTTACGCCAATTATGATAACTCATAGTCTCTCTTTTTAAAATTTTGTTGGTATATTTTAGATATTTATAATGATCACATTCATCATAGGGAATTTGTACCTGCACGTGATCTATCTTGCTTTTTTTTTCCCATCACCTTCCCACTTCAACCCCTCTCAACCTGCTTTTTTAACAAAAGCTTTGTTTCCATTTTTATTTCTATTCTCCTTTTTCTTTTCCCTCCTTTCCTTTTTCCCTTCTCCCTCCCTCATTCTCCTTCCCATTTGAACATTTTCTTCCCGTTTCCCAATATCTGTTATATATTTTGGACCTTATTTATACTTTCAGTTTCTCACATTACAGAAAAAAATGAGGTATTTAAACATCTGTGTCTGATTTATTTGCGTATTGTCTAAAGGTGCATCCATTTAGCTAAAAATGTCTCAAACTTATCCTTCTTTATGGCAGTGTAGTACTCTATTGTGTAAAATAAAACCCACATCCTCTTTGTCCATTCATTGGTTGATGGACATTTGGGCTGTTTCCAAGATTTGGTTACTACAACTGTGCAGCTACAAATGTAGGTGTGCATGTATTGCTATGGTATGATGCTTTTAATTCTTTCAGGAAGATAACAAGAAGGAGAATAGCTGGGCTGAATAGAACCTCTAGTTTTAGTTTTTTGAGGAATCTTCACACTGATTTCCACAATGGTTGCACTAGTCTTCACTCCCACCAACAGTGGAGAAGAGGTTTTTGTTTTTTTGTTGTTTTTTTTTTTCCCCCTACAGCCTCACCAGCATTTGTTATTGGTTGATTTCATGAGCCATTCTTCCTGGGGTAAAATAGAATCTCAGCATTATTTTAATTTGCATCTCTTGAATGACTAGTGATACTGAACACTTTTTCATGTATTTATTTGCCATTTGTATTTCTTCTTCTGGGAAGTGTCTATTTCCAGTGCCCATTTTTGGATTGGTTCTTTAAATTTGAGGGATCTGAATTTTTTGAGTTATTTATATATTCTAGATATTAATACTTTGAGGAACAGCTGTTAAAATTATTTCCCCACTGTATGGATTGTCTCTTCACTCTGTTGGTGGTTTCTTTGGCTGTGCAAAACCTTTTTAACAAGACAAGATACCAGTTGTTGATTCTTGATGATATTTCTTGTGTGATCAGGGTTTTGTTCATAAAGTCTTTGCCTACACCAATGTCTTCAAGAGTTTTACCTATTTTATCTTCAAGACAATTTCATGATTCTGTGTTAATATTTAGATCTTTGATCCATTTCAACTTTAGTTTAGTGTAGGGTGATAGACATGGGTCCAGTTTTAATCTTCAACATGTAGAAAGCCAGTTTTTCCAGCATCATTTATTAAAGAGACTATCTTTCTTCCAGTGAAGGTGTTTTTCTCTTTTGTCAAAGATAAGGTGACTGAGTATGTATGGAGTTGTTTTTGCATCTTTCAGTCTATTTCATTGATCCTTGGATCTGTTTGTATTTGCCAGTACCAAGCTGTTTTTATCACAGTTGCTTTGTAGTATAATTTCAAGTCTGGGATTGTGATGCTACCACCTTGCCTTTGTTGCCCAGAATTGTGTTTGCCATTCTAGGTCTCTTCTAGTTCCAAATGAATTTTAGTACTGTTTGTCCTAATTCTGTGAGATATGCTGTTGGCATTTTGATTGGAATTGCATTAAATCTGTGTAATAATTTTGGGAGTATGACCACTTTCACTAGATTAGTTATTCCTACCCAAGAATAAGGGATATCTTTCTGTTTTCTGATATCCTCTTTGACTTCCTGTTTAAGAATACTATAGTTTTCAATGTAAAGGTCTTTTACTTCCTTTGTTAGATTGATTCCTAAGTATTTCAATTTTTTGGGTGCTATAGTGAAAAGTGTTGTTGATTTTTGAGTGTCATTGTTGATTTTTGAACATGCTGTTGATTTTTGAGAGTTGACTTTGTATCCAGCTATGCTACCGAATTTAATTATTAAATCAAGGAATCTTTTGGTGGAGTTTTTGGGATCTTCTCTGTAGAATATCATGTCATCCACAAATAATAATAATTGAACTTCTTTCTTTCCTATCCTTATACTTTTTATTTCCTTTTCTTATCTAACTGCTCTGCTAATGTTTCCAGAACTATGTTGGATAAGAGTGGCAATAGTGGACATTCTTGTCTTGTTCCTAATTTTAGAGTGAAAGCATTCTGGTTTTTTTCCATTTAGTATGATGTTGGCTCTTGGCTTGTCATAGATGGCTTTTATCAGATTGAGGTAAAGACCATCTATTCTAATTTTCTGTAGGGTTTGTATCATGAATGAGTATTGGACTTTGTTAAAAGCTTTTTCTAATTTTTGGAATCTTGACTCTTATATGCCTTGGTGTAGATTTTTTTGACCATGGCTAAATATATGCCTCACTTTTCTGAATGTCAGGGTGTGGCTTTGCTATCACTGGTAGACAGAGTGAGCAAACAGATCCCAGAACCAAGTTGATTAATTCCAGCACACCAGCTGTAGATTTATAGTGGGGTACTGAATAATCCCAGCAAACCTCGGAGGTTCCACTGAAGTTCAGGCTGGTTTCTGGCTGTGAGACTAAAAGCCCATTTGTTCAGCCTGTAGCACATGTGCCTCCTGCCAGCTTGAGCGTGGCTTCCCGCTGACTGGAACTCAGCCTACTGACCTCCTGCCAACCTGGACTTGGTTCCACTTCACCCTGACACTGTGAACCACCGGATGGAGTCAACTGGCAGCTGCTGTGAGTTCTCAGCTGGACCCTCTCCAAGATGGCAACCAGCCAAATACCCTCTCCTGGGGCACATCTGCACCTGAATAACTCACTAGCCACTACAGTTTGCTGCATCCGCTGCTCCATTCCACTGGTTCATTTCTTCATAGAGACCTCTAGGGTCACTGGTAGTCACCATGAATCTGCTGGTTCAAGCTGCTCCTCCCACTTTCTGAGTCAGGACTCAGAAAGAAAGTGCCTCTTGCCCCCTCCTTTATCTGCATAGAGGTCTCTCTCTTCACTCTCCCTGTGGGCCTCAATTCTTGCTTCAGATCCTTGCTGGGTCCTAGGGATCCACTCCCTCCTTCTCTTTCTCATGTTGCTGTATTGCAGCCTCTGGTTGCCAAATCTCAGAGAGGTTGTTTCTCTGCTTTTCACCACTCTTCCATCTTCCCGGAAATCTCCAGTTGATAGTTTCTTGATATTTTAATATTTTGAATTCTTTTGAATATTTCAAATATTAATTCTTTTGAATTAATATATTCTTTTAATATTTTGAGTTCTTTTTCCCTATCTCCTGACTACCTCTCATCTTGCCTTTCCAGTAACTGCTAATTGAGCCAATAAAACCCAGAAAATATCTCCTCTGCTTTCAAATGCAGAAACCAGTAAGCAAGTGTCTCCTTATTCTCAGAGGTAAAGAGTGGCTCCTTCCCCTTTCTCTCCTTCTCCAGTTATCTGCTTTTGCCTGGCAGCTTCCCCTGATACCTGCTCATGGCCTCTTGGAACAGTGGGACAACTGCGCCTCCAGCACTGGGGGCAGCAGCACTGGAGTCAAGCCCAGCTGTTCTGCTTCCCATCTTACCCACAAGGAGGCAGCACTTGGATATGGCAGCTATAACCACATACTCCGGAGTGGGGTTGGAGAGAGAACGCACGAACCACCTAGGTCTGAGCGTACAGAACAGCCCTGTACTGGCAGGAGAGGAAAAGGAGGGATGGGAACTCCTTTCTCTAGACTGAAACCTCCACAAAGCTTCAGGAGAAGCTCACTTAGTTCTGAAAGAGTGGCCACAGGTGATCCACAGCAAGGTCCCCTTAAATAAATGTGCTTCCCACCAGGGACTCAGCCTCTGGTTCAGTCTTCTTTGCTTGTGGGCCACAAAGGCTGCTGCCAGTGGACTACTCAGAATTCAGCTTATGATTTGGAGCAGAGTGTATGTGAGGGTGTGTGTAGCCCCAGAGGCATCTAAGGTGCTAGGGGATATTGTGGCCCCTCTTCTCCCTTTTCTTTTTGTGCCACTGAATTAAGCTGGGGCTGCGGTACTGCGCCTGATTTTCATTCTGAAGGCACAGTCCCAAGGGCAAGACAATGGCTCACACACTGCAGATAAACACTGTGACGTCACTCAAGAGGAGCCACCAGAATGGTTGCTGATGAGGAATAAGGCTTTGTTTGCTTTACAAGATCCCTAAATAAATACTGAAAGTAGAGTGGCAGGCAGGGAAGGAGCAGCAGTGTCCTTTATCATGATTGCTGGAAAACACTCCCCCAGCCGCCAATGCTTCCGGCACTGGGACCACCACTGTTCCCAAGTACAGCTCTGTGCTGTCAGGGAAAGGTCTGTGCTGAGTTTGAGTCCAGCAGCAGGGTGGCTCACGTGAATTCTCCCTGCGCCCTCCTTGTGAGATTCCTCCTAGTAATCCAGCAGGTTTATGGGGCAGTTCGCAGGCTCGCCAGTGTCGAGTTAACTGGCCTAGAAGATCACTCTGACCTTGACCTCTGATTGTTCTGATCTTGACATGGAATTGTTTTTACTAGTTATCACAGAGAGTACTTACAGGTTTATATGCAGAAAACGTCTACAGTGTCTCCAACGGCAGGGTGTGTGGGCTGCTAAGCTACAATAGTTGCATTATGCAGTGTGGGAGGAAGAGGTAAAATCGCAGGTACAGTCCTTAGCCAAAATGAACTTGCTAAGTGATCAAACCAAATTCTCTTTAAAATTAAAAAAAAAAAAAAATGAACTTGCTGCAGTGATACAAGTCATGAGAGCTGCTTCAGTAGTGACCCAGCTCAGGGATGGGAAGAGACACTTTGGGATGGCACAAGAGAATGTCTTGGGCCCCCTTCTCCCCACCCTTATCATGAAATCCTTCTTGCCATTTTCCTCACAGGCCCAGCACCTTTCCCCACAAGCTCGCCGCCGGTTTCATGCTGCCCTGGCATCTTGTTCCACCTCGATGTTGATCCTGTTCAACCTGGTGTTTCTTGGGGGCAATCAGGTTGGGAAAACCTACTGGGACAGGATTTTCATGCAAGGTGAGTTTCCTGGCAGTGCTGTTTGCACTCTACTTCTTGTTTTCCATGTGTGCGTTTGGTATTACAGATGGGATTTGGGAGAGTCACTCATTCTTGTGTTCATGGTATGTCACCTAGAAGTGTACCAGCCAGGAACAATTTCACCTATGACTGTAAGTGTCCCTGTGTTGGATGTACCTCCTATCTACCACATGTGACACTTATTTAACATCAAAATGCACGGTTCTGACTCTCTTGAACTTATCCCAGCTCTTTTTCCTTATCTTCCCTAGATCCCAGCCTTGGGGACACTGCCAGGTTTAACCCTGTTCCCTTTGGTGCCCTGAACGTCCTACTGGAATTGTGTCCTGGAAGTCCCAGTGAGCTCTCCTAAGTCCATGGGCATGGCCCCTGTATTTGCCACAGCTCTTGTGGATATTTATATCTAAAAACTAACTGTCAGTGTACCAGTCATATACACTGAGTGGACTGACACAAAGTCCACAGCAAAGCCACACCGGCAGCAGATAAAATGCTGGTATGTGGGAGTTGTCCAAAAAGCATCATAATCACTTACCATCATTGCCCTTGGGCTCGAACTATAAGGTCATTTTCTTCTGGGACTTGGGAAATGTGGAACTGCTCACAGCACACATCGCTGAAGCCAACTCACTGTCTTTGAAAGAACAGATCCCCCTTCCCTGTTTCTCTGACCAGCAACATGGTTGTGCTTTGGATTTTGGGAAGCCTTGTCAAGCGGTGATGACGTGACTCCACACAGCTGGCTTGTCATCTCCACATCTGGGTGCCTGAGGAGCCAGCCATGCTTTTGCTGCAGCTCTTTCATGCCAGAAATAACCCCAGTTCAGCTGCACAGTTCCTGGTTGCCAGCTCAGGAATCTCAGCTCGACAGGCACAGGGCAGGGGCAGGCTCTAGGGGCCGTGGAACAGCCCTCTCTACTTTAATCTTGTCACTAACAGTGCCCTCTTTGCTTTTCAGCAATGTTTTAGCTGATAGCTCCTGAAAAGACTATGTGTTTTTTAAGTGGAAGCTGTCCTGCAGTATAGCTGGGAGGTAGGAGGGAGCAAAGGATCTAAGGATAAAGGAGGTATCAGTGTCTTTACTTTTCTTGCCTCCTCCCACAGAACACACAGTGCTCTCACTGTGGCACTGGGAAAAGTGCTGATTTGGGGTTTGCTCACTTCCTAGTAAGAAGGCTCTGGGTTTTGTTTCAGTAGATCATAGATACTGGGTGGTGGCTACTGGCAAGGTACTGCATACACAAGGACGGAGGAGAAAGCACACACAAATGTGAGGGCCAAGCGTGCAAACACATGTGGCAGTTGACTGAGACTGTTGCTGTGCCAGATGCATGAGTGAGTTGCTGGAGTAGATGGAATGGAGTGACTGGTGCCCTGCTGAAGGTGGACATCCCAGAGGAGGTGGCATTTGAATTGGAGCATTAAATAGGAAATTGTAGGTACAGAAGACCAGTGTATTTGGGTAGTTAACATTGGCTGCCCTACCAGAAACTCCAAAATCTCAGTAAATTTTCACTTTCGAAGTTTATTTCTCTCGCAGTTCAATACAAATCCAATGACTTTTTGTAAGCTATGATTTGAGTCCTTGCGGAGCAGATGTCTGAGGGACAGGGATTGTTGAGATTTGCAAGTGCCTCCCAGCTAATGGGATATGGGTACGCATATGTCTTAGAAGCCCAGCCTCCTAACTCCAGGGAGCCTTTTCCAGCCTTGGTGGCATTCCTGGAAGGTTTCTCCCAGTTAGCTTGGAGAATTTGTCTTGAGGTCAGTATCTCTTTTTCTTTAGTTCGCTAAATTAAGCTGTTGATTTGTTTGCTCTCAGCTGCAGAGTTTATTGTAGCGCTTTCATAAAAATCTCTGTCCTGGTCTTGGGTGGTGTGGGTGGTAGATGTGAGACTGTTACTTCCCTCTCTCCTGGGCACCTGCTCTGCCCTCCAGGAAACAGGAAGCAGAAATGCCGAGTGGCACACCGGGGCACTGTGTGTATCCTGCGTGTAACATCTTTATCAAGTGTTACCGGTGTTGCTGAGGTCAGCGCAGCAATGTTCACTTCATTCAGCAGAAAATCAGGAATCTATACTTTTGCTCTCTAAATCTCTCTGAATTTTACTATTTAAATTTGCTTCAAGCTGCTTGAGAAATTTTAAAGGGTCTGAGAAGTTCATGGCTAGGAGTGTGGTCCACCTGCTCATACTGCCCTCTCTGGGAGGGACAGTCTGGGTTGTACTAGGTGCTTCTTACGTAACCTATTCTCTCAAAAGTATGTGTGGATGGAAGCACTGCCTCCTGTCTAGCTTAAATCCTCACCAGTGAAGCATAAGTTAACTTCTTCCACAAGCAGTTGACTACACTACTGCTCTATAATTCAGAGGTACTGCTGACTTGAAACTCGGTTCTGCAAAGCCGCTCCCTATAAGCCAACCACAGCCTAAGATCCTTGTGGGGCTTTTTTGATAGGCCTAAGAGAGTGAGGGAGAAAAGATATTCAAGAGGGATGAGTATGCATTGGGAACATAACTGGATTTCAGAGGACTGAGAGCTTTACAGTGTTTGTCTGAGTGCAGGATGGCATTCCATTCAAACAGTCTATTTCTGTGCAAAGAAGACATGGATTTTGTAAAAGAAGAATTCAAACTGCTTCCCAAGAGGGACTGCCCCAGGTCTCACATCTAGGGCTCTGCATTAACAGAGCTGGATAGACACATGTTACCCTCCAAACATTCTCCTGCCTGACTTCTCATCACAAGCATGCTCGACATGCACACACACACACACACACACACACACACACACACACACACACACACGTATGTCTGGTTTTCCTCCTCTTATTACCTGGTCTCATTTGGCAAACCCACCTCAATAACCTCAGCTCTGAGCTCCCATGGTGACCTATTTCCAAGGCAGAGGGAGTTTGGTTCTTTTTTCTCCAGATTGCAATGAAGGAAGAGCTCTCAGTTTTCTTATGCAGGTCAGAACCTTTGCACTTTCCACATTGGCTTGCTATTTCTAGCTGAGAGGAGAAAGTGTATCTTCCCTGCTTACCACCTTGTCCAGACAGCTTAGTCATCTCCTGACTCAAATGGCTCTGGACAAGCATTTTATTTAAAGCTGAATTGGAATATCACACTGGCAGTTTTAGAGGGTTGTGGTTAAATAGAAACTCATTCCCTTCACGTCTTCTTAAATTCTTAGGAGTAAAATTTCATTGCTGATGGGAGAAGACAGAGGGCAGATGTCAACCCTCAGAGGCCACCCGTGTGATTACTTCATCTTACACCCTTGTTGGCCCTCGCCTGTAAGCAGTGTTCATGGGTCTCACTGACTCCACTTCCTCCTCCCTGGAGCCTCTGGAAGTTCTAGAGGGTTTGAGAGCAGGAGCTTTCTGCTGTGATATTGGCTGTGAAGCTGGCACTCATTGCTAGGCTAAGCAGCATGTGCATTTCTTCCTGGTGGTACGTGAGCCCATTCCAGCCATCCTTAGAATCTGCAGTTAGAACTCTCTGAGGCCATGGTACCTCTTTGGTACACCCTGTGGGCATCACGTGTCTTGGGCACCAGTTTTCCTAAAAGTATTTCAGGCCAAGTCACCAGGCAGAGGATGCGAGACAGGAGGGGAGTCCTCTTGCAGCAGGGCACCTAGGGTCACATTAAGGCTAAGGTGATTTTTTTTTTTTATTTTAAAGAGAATAAAAAAAATTTTGAAATTAAAAAAAACATTAAAAATGATACAGAATTTCAAAACAAGATGATAAGAAATCAACAATGGTTATTATATTGCATACTGCTATCTTCAAAAGTAGTTGTTCAAATTTCCAGATATAGGCATGCAAAATTGATAAAAAAATTAAGCATTAACTTTTCCTCTCAATAAACCAAGAGAAACTAGGAGATTTCTGCCTCATCTAGGAAGGGCTTGCAACCAGAGGACACTGAGATGTTATTTTCCACGAGGTCATGTGAAACTTTCCTGCTAACCTGTAGTTTCCCAGAGCTCACAGTGAAAAGAGTTTCATGAGGGGCTGGGGATTTAGCTCAGCGGCAAAGCGCCGGCCTGGCAAGCACAAGGTCATGAGTTCGGTTCCCGGTACCGGAGAAAAACCAAAAAAAAAAAAAAAAAAAAAAAGAGTTTCATGAAAGATGGGAACACTTTAAAGTATTTTCATATAGAACATCTAGGAAAGAGTCTCATATCTTAGACACACTTAGTCAAATACCAGTGGAATAATTTTGCATTTCTACTAATGCAGCACAGATAATATTTGGAATCTTCATGTTCACTTTCACTTATCACTGGCCTGTCCTTGACCCCAGCCTTCTTGCCCCATCACACATGGGTGGGGTAACATCCAGTTTCTCAAGTTGCTGGGCCAGTTCTCTGAGGGTTTCACGTGGAGGAACAGTGTCCTGGGGTACAGTAGGGGTGGGTCAGAGGCTTGCTTTTGCTTTGTAAAATGGGATAAAGGCTCTTTCGTGAGAGGAGAAGCAGAAAGGAGAACCTTAAGAACAGACAGAGTAATTTTTAGGGAAAGATGTGAATGTGGAACCTGAAGATCTGGAAATCATTGTCTTTGCCGTTATCCGTGCTACTGCACTTTACAGAGTCCTGCTGTTCGGCTGCATAACCCAGTCTGGGAGCATTGCTGTGTAGGAGAGGAGGCCATACTGCTCTTTGTATCCTCCTCCTTCATCTTCTTTCCCAGCCCAAAGGAAGGGCACTGCTGTGCACCTGTTGGGGCTTGGGGTTGATATGTATCAGTTAGGTAATGCTGAATAACCACCCACCCCAAACCGAGTGGCATAAAAAGCAAGCATTCGTTTATTTAGTCCGCCGTCTGTCTCTGTGGCAGCTGAAGGCTGACTGGTCTCGGGTAGCCTCGTGAATACACCTGTGGACCCGCCTTGGCTAAACTGCAATTTCAGCTGGGCTCCCACTGGGATAGACTGACTGCCTCGGTCTGCTCTTGGTAAGAGGTCCG